CTGGCCAGTATTCCTGGAGGATATGACACTGACATCAGCTGGGTTTTCAATGGCAACAATGGCCCGTGCTGCCAACAGAAGCTTCTCCCAGGTTCTCTTCAGATTTATGATGTAGATGCCATCACTTTTCCTTTTGTAGATGTACTGTTCCATTTGGAAGTCAAGGTTGGTGCCACCTAAGTGGGTTCCTGCTGCAAGGAATTTGAGGACATCCTCCTCCTTCATTTGCAGGACATCAAGGGCTCCGGACATTGTGAAAGCTTCCCTTTAAGTTACGATGGGAATTCAGAACAACGCCGTATGGACCCCTCTCAGGGCAGCGCCGAAAGGCCCACCTCTTCTTATATCTTCTGCTTCTGTTAGGTCCATACCATTTCTGTCCTTTATTGTGCCCATCGTTGCATGAAATGTTCCCTTGGTATCTCTAATTTTCTTGAAGAGATCTCTAGTCTTTCCCATTATATCATTTCCCTCTATTTCTTTGCGTTGATCACTGAGGGGGGCTTTCTTATCTCTCGTTTCTATTCCTTTGGAACTCTGCATTCAGATGTGTATATCTTTCCTTTTCTCATTTGTCTTTTCTTCTCTTCTTTTCTCAGGTATTTGTAAGGGCTCCTCAGGCAACCATTTTGCCTTTTAGCATTAGTTTTTCTTGAGGGTGGTCTTGATCACTGCCTCCTGCACAGTGTCATGAACCCTCATCCACAGTTCTTCAGGCACTCTATCAGAGCTAATCCCTTGAATCTATTTGTGACTTCCACTGTATAATCGTAAGGGATTTGATTTAGGTCATATCTGAATGGTCTTGTTCTTTGCCTGGAAGGGAAATTTTTTACTGATGCAAAATTTCTTGACTCACTGTGATGATTTCTTAGCTCCTTCTGGGCCCTCCTCCCTTCTCCATCAAGTAATTTCCCAGGTATAAGGAAGAAGATATTTTATATTTTTGTAGGCCTTAGAGACTTTGGTGAGTGTTATTGATCAGCTAATTCTGAAGATGTCATGTTGTTGAGTCTTACTTTTTTTCTTTTTTCCATTATGGTGATCTCTGCCATTTAAGCATAATGTTTAGACAATTTGCATTCATTATCAACATGATCAATTTAAAATTTCCCATCTTGTTCTCTGTTTTCTATGTGTCTCATCTTTATTCCTCTTTCTTCATGTTTTCCTGGTTTCTTTTGGATTAACAGTATTTTTTTTGTGATTCTTTTTTATCTCCATTATTGGCTTATTAGCTGTACCTTTTGTTTTATTTTTTAGTAGTTACTCTAGAGTCTGTATATCTAACTATTAATTTATGTTTAATATACCATTTCACACAAGAATCTTACAAAGTATACTTCCCTCTACATCCTCATCTTTTGTTGTTTTTATCACATTTTACTTCTACCTGTTATAAACCACATAGTTAATTATTGAACTTTCTTTAAAGAGCCAAGTTAGTTTTTTCTAGCTTTTGAGGTATAATTGACAAAACTATATTTAAAGTGTGCAACATGATGATTTGATATTGGTATAGATTGTAAAAGTATTTCCACAATCAACCATTACCTTAGTGATTGTGTGTGTGTGTGTGTGTGTGTGTGCGTGACAACCTTTAATATCTGCCCTTTTAGCAAATTTCAGTTAAATAATACAGAATATAATCACATTCTGTACTTTCATTGTGCTGTTTTTGCTGTAGCCATGCTGTACTTAGATTTTCAGGACTTTTTCATCTAATAACTGAAAGTTTGTACCCTTTAAGTAACCTCTCTCCATTTCCCCCGTCTCTGGCAACCACCCTACTACTATGTTTCTGTGAGTTCAACTTTCTTTTAAGATTCTCCATATTTTGAGATCATGCAGTATTTCTTTTTATTTCTCTGAGTTATCTCACTTAGCATAATGTCCTCCAGTTTCATTCAGGTTGTTGCAAATGATAGGATTTCCTTGTGGGTTTTTTTTAATCGCTCAGTATTATTCCATTGTATTTACATCTTTTTATACACAATTTTACTTGCATGCAGAGTGTTGAACACATCGCTCGTGAAAGTATGGAGCAGGGGGAAGCCTGCCACTGGGTGGGAGAGTGTGTGTGAGCGAGGTGCACAGATCGTTGAGGTTATTGAAGGTGAGGCCTCCCCAGCTGCTCAGGTGTGGACTTGATGCTGTCCTTGAAATGGTTAGTGGGATCCATGTTTCTTTGACACATCTCCGGCTCTGGCAGCCCCTCCCTGCCCCTCAGTTGTACATTCATCTCAGTACCCCTAGATGGGGCAGGAAAGAAGTGGGTCCTTTTGTCAGTATACTGTCCAGCTGGGGAATCTGAGTACTCACTCACATGCACTCAAACATTCCATGGTGGGAGAAATTGTTGGCGAGAGATCCTAAGCTATACCACCTTGGGGGAGGGGGTAATGTGGTCCTTTTACTTCTACATCTAATCCCTGTTTTATTTTGCTCCCGTAGTGTACTGGAGCTTCTCTGCTGGACTCCAGAGTTCTACAAAAAGCCCTGTTCTCGGTAGGTGATTGTTCTAGTCACTTGGTCTTTGGGGAAATGGCAGTAGAAAACTCCTCTTCTGCCATTTGCTGATGTCATTTCAGTTAACCTTTAGAAAGATTAAAATTGAGAGAAAAATGTCCTTAGCATTTAGCCATGTGTTTTACATTGTAGGCCTCTATGGCTTTTTTGTAGTTACAAATTTCCATTTGATATTTTTCTTCTGCTGGAAGAACTTCAATATTTCTCATGAGATAAATCAGAGAAAGACAAATACTGTATGATATCGCTTATATGAAGAATCAGAAAAAACCAAACTCATAGAAACAGAGTAAAATGTTGGTTACCAGAGGACCGTAGGTGGACGGAAAGGAAAGATGTTTAAGATGTTTAACTACTGCTACCAAGTAGTTAAATAAGTCGTAGAGAATTAATGCATAGTACAGAGACTATAGATAATATTGTATTACAATTTTCAAACCTGCTAAGAAACAAACTCAATTATTCCACCCACTAAAAAGAAAATAGTTATATAATGTGATAAAGGTGGTTATTGCTACAAAGACAATTGTATTACAATATAAATTGTACACCTTAAGTTTACACGATGTTATATGTCAAATACATTTTTGCTGAAGTATAGTTGCTTTATAATGTCATTAGTTTCTGCTGTACAGCGGACTGAATCAGCCACATGTATTCACATATCCTGTCTTCCTTGGATTTCCTTCCCATTTAGGTCACCACGGAGCTTTGAGTAGAGGTCTCTGTGCTGTATAGTTCGTCTTTATTAGTTATTTCATTAGTAGTGTATATATCCCAATCTCCCAATCCTTACCAGCCCCCCCTTCCCCTTTTGGTACTCATACATTTGTTCTCTGTGTGTCTATTTCTGCTTTCAAAGAAGTTCATCTATGCCATTTTTCTAGATTCCACATATATGCATTAAGATACAATGTTTGTTTTTCTCTTTCTGACTTACTTCATTCTGTATGACTGTTTCTAGGTCCATCCATGTCTGATGGCACCATTTTCGTTCCTTTTTGTGGTAATATTTAGTTCCTTTTTAGTAATATTCCCCTGTATAAATGTACCACATTTTCTTTATCCATTCCTCTGTTGATGGACATTTAGGTTACTTCCATGTCTTGGCTATTGTAAATAGTGCTGCAATGAACACTGAGGGTGGGGGGTACATCATGTATCTTTTTTAATTATATTTTTCTCCAGGAGTACGCCCAGGAGTGGGATTGCTGGGTCATAAGGTAGTTCTGTATTTAGTTTTTTGACGACCCTCCATACTCTTCTCCATACTGATTGTACCAGTTTACATTCCCACCAACAGTGTAGGAGAGTTCCATTTTCTCCACACCCTCTCCAGTATTTATTGTTTATGAAATTTTTGATGAAGACCATTCTGACCTGTGTGAAGTGACACCTCATTGTAGTTTCCATTTGTATTTCTCTAATAGTGATGTTGGGCTTCCCTGGTAGCTCAGCTGGTGAAGAATCTGCCTGCAAAGCAGGAGACCCTGGTTCAATTCTTGAGTCAGAAAGATCTGCTGGAGAAGGGATAGGCTACCCACTTCAGCATTCTTGGGCTTCTCTGGTGGCTCAGCTGGTAAAGAATATGCCTGCAATGGAGGAGACCTGGGTTCTATCCCTGGGTTGGGAAGATCCCCTGGAGAAGGGAAAGGGTACCCACTCCAGTATTATGGGCTAGAGAATTCCATGAACTATATAATCCATGGTGTCGCAAAGAGTCAGACACGACAGTGACTTTCACTTTCAACAGTGATGTTGAGCATCATTTCATGTGCTTGTTTGCTGTATATAAGTCTTCTTTGGAAAAATGTCTATTTAGTCTTTTGCCCATTTTTCTGATTGGGTTGTTTGTTTTTTTGATATTGATCTATATGAGCTGTTTGTATATTTTGGAGATTAATTCCTTGTCAGTTGTTTGATTTGCAAATATTTTCTCGCGTTCTGAGGGTTGTCTTTTTGTCTTATTGATGGTTTCCTTTGGGCTTCCGTGGTGGCTCAGTGCTGAAGAACTTGCCTCTTAATGTGGGAGATGGCAGGTTTAAGTGTTAGTTACTTAGTCATGTCTGACTCTTTGCGACCCCATGGATTGTAGCCCACCAGGCTCTTCTGTCCGTGGAATTCTCCAGGGAAGAATACTGGAGTTTGTATGGTTTTAGGGAGTTTTCTAATTTAATTCTTTTTACATGTAGCTGTCCTATATTCCTATCTCCACTTATTGAAGAGACTGTTTTCTCTATTGTATATTCTTGTCTCTTTTGTCAAAGATTAGGTGACCATAGATATGTGGGTTTATCTGTAGGCTTTCTATCCTATTCCATTGATCTGTATTTCTGTTTTTGTGCCAGTACCATACTATCTTGATTGCTGTAGCTTTGTAGTACAGTCTGAAGTCTGGGAGCCTGATTCCTTCAGCTCTATTTTTCTTCCTCAAGATTGCTTTGGCTCTTGAGGGTCTTTTGTGTTTCCATACAAATTGTAAAATTTTTTGTTCTAATTCTGTGGAGAATGCCATTAGTAGTTTGATAGAGATTGCACTGAATCTGTAAAATGCTTTGGGTAGTATGGTCATTTTCACAATATTGATTCTTCTAATCCAAGAACATGTTACATATTTCCATCTGTTATCTTTGATTACTTTCATTAGTATATTATATTCCAAATGTTTCAATTAAAAAATTTCTCATAGTGCATATCTGTTTTCAGTGAATTCTATCAGCTTTTATTTATCTGCAAAAGTATTTATTTTGCTTTCATTTGTGAAAAATATTTGTGTTGAGTATAGAATGTTGTTAATATTTTTTCTATGTTAATATTTTTTTTTATTCTTTCCACTGAGAAGTGTTTTCTGACATATGGACAGATTTCCTTCTCTGTACCCTCATCTCTTCATCTCTGACCACTAAACCTCAGCAAGACTATCCACAAATGCACAGACACCAGATTGCAGCCAATCTCTCTGTTTTTCCCTCATTTTCATTTGGCTCAAGGAACTCAGGATGTTATCATTCAGGCAGAGATGATGATGATGAAGTGAATTACAACCATGCTGACAGAATTGACTTAGCTAAATAGTGATGATGAGCTAAGAGGACTGGATGTGTGAAGTAAGAAGTATCCGGAAGACTGTGCTCATCCTGGAAAACATTTTCTTTGTAAAATAGAACCCATATTTTCAGTTGGACGTACTGTTGTTGCCCAATGAAAAGATTGAAGATCAGGTTCTTTTTGTAGCTATATGTGACCATATCACTAAATTCAGTTTAGTGAGATGAAAGAAGTGCTGTGTGCAACTTCTAGAAAGTGTTATTAGAAGGATTGAACCCTGCTTCCGCTCTTTCCTGCTGGCTGTTACAGGCATATGATAGCAGGCGCCCAAGCAGCCTTAAAGGTGGGGACACAACAGAGCATCAAGAGGGAAGAAGCCCGGCACTGTGAGCCTGTACACACTGGTCCAACTGCATCTGGGCTGCTTTTTTTGTGAGAATACAATTACCTTTTATCTCATGTAAGCCATTGGCTTTATCTGTTGTCTCTTTTTGCTCTTGTTGTATGTGGTCGACATTCATTAATCCTGATTAATGAACGCCAGGTGACAGAGGAGGCCCAGGTCTGAATCCTGGATGACTGAACAAATAGTAATGCATTTGGTAAAGGGCAAACAGGTTAGGGGCTTCTAAAGGTAGATAATCCTGTAAAACAATTAAGCACCGACATGAATAAATCTCAGCAGTTAAATTATTTTTTAAAACATGAAAAGACTAAAGCTTGTTTTTTATTTGAATCTTTTTTCCTTTTGCTTTCTTAGACATGAACACTGATCTCATATGTTAATCATGGTAGGACTTTGATGACTTAGTCTTACATCATAATGGAGTTCTAAAATATTAAGTCTCCCTCTGCCTCATTTTCCTGTTAATGGAGTTACATTCCATTAATCACATTCTTGAATTAGAGACTTTTAGGTTGGGGTATCCTCAAAAGATTAATTGAAATAAAACATGAAAGAATGCATGATATATTGAAACTATTTATGAAGGGCTTTTTTCTCTTTGGATAAGGTCTTTGCCCTGTCACTTACTGTTAACCTTTATCACATGTTTGAACTTTCATGTCAAAATTGTTGTTGATCTCACCTAGGGAGAAATAAATTGAGTTTACCTTTTTGGCTTTTATTATCATAAAACTTTGAAATGACAGTAATTTGGTAGAGATTTCAGTTCGCTTTTTTATCCTTTAAGTCAATCACAGAATTTTTAGGATGCAGGTATATTTGTAATCTATTTTCTCCCCCTGACCTTTCTTCTCCAGGACAAAGGTGATGGATTTGTGGTGGTAGTTTTAAGCTTGACACCACCAGGGAAACATCTAAAATGTCTTTAGGCAAGCTTGTTTTCCCTGTCTTCTTGCCTGGTAGTGTTGAAAGCTGAGTGTCTCTTTGCTTTTCTAAAAGTATGTCTTCTCTAGGTGCTGGCAAACAAGTTGAAATTTAAATGACCTGTGGAATTCTTCAAGGCAGTGACTGTATGTGGGAAAAGGAAACTTTGAGGCAGATTCTGAACTAGAATGATGTAATGCATCCCAGGAAAGCAGTGGTTGGAATTCAGGTAGCTTTGAGCAGGTAACTTAATAGCAGAGGATACTATACCTCTGCCATACTAGAAACAAGCAGGTATAAAAGAAGAAAAGAAATGGGAACAGTAAGACCATTGAGAACAAAATAGAGGAGGGAATAGGGTTTAGGGCCTCTCTGGAAATCCTTAGAGGCCAAAGGCTTTAAAAGCCAAGATTACTTCATGTTTCTTTTGATAAAACAGTCATTACAAAATAATAATAAGGCTCAGGCCAGTATCAACACTGAAATTTCACCTATATTATATCAATTTTTTAATACTTGTTTTATGGCCTAGGGCAGTGTCATATACAAAAGACCTTTACCCAAACTGCATTTCATTGAAAACAAAGGCAGGCATATTTGG